TCATTAAATTGAATGTACAAAAATACATTTCCACATCAAAATGCACTATCAAGTGGCCATGGTAAAAGTAAAACAGCTAAGAACATTTTCCAAGGGTTTCCATAATTTCCAATCTGTAGTTTCCAGGACTTAATCACTCAGAGTGTCAACCCACGGAGGTATCTAACAACTTCCAATCTCTTAGCATGTAAACTAAGCTGTGGTTTTTCAACTCCAATTACTATGGATTCTTATAATGTTTTCACTTTAACACCGATTTGGGGTTTAAGCAGGCCATATAAATAAAGCCTTTTGGGCCAGTCCTTCTAAGAAACAGTATAAAAGAAGATGACAAAATAGTGATAATAGAATCTGGACCTAATGATTACTGCCCAAATACATGTGTTTTATAAAGCTCTCCTGAATTCATGTGGAAATCTATGTCAAAATGTTAAATTATTAAACATATGTTGCACTGATTGGTACACAGCCTACACTTACACTCTAACAACACCTGTACAACAGACAGTAAACAAGGCAGATGCCTCAAAAAAAAAACACAAAACAAACAAACAAAAACCAGTGGGAAAGCAACTTCAGACCATGATCAAGGAAGAGCTCAGTGTTCCTAAAGGTGGCTTCTTGAAACCCAGAGTGTCTACCTTCTGTTTCACAAGGAGGGCCATTCCAGAGGACACTGGTTACTTCATGTTGTAAAAAATAGTTTGCAGTAAAGAATTTCAAAGGGACACAGCAATGTGAAGTGAAGTGGTCAGGGCTCGACTTTAATAAGGAAGTTATTTTGGGGAGGAGGTGTTCAACTTTTACTACATCTATCTGGAGCCCAGATTCTAGACAAAGAGGTGTTTCATTATGGTAATTACCCAGATACTTCAGACAGGTCTTTGATGAGGATGGGAGTGTAAGGCTGGCATGACTTCCTGCTTCAGTTATTCAGGTATATGCCCAGGTTAGTTAAAATTATTTGAAGAAATGGCTGGGTCTTACTTCTTTTATAAAGTCATCTTTAAGGTGCCTCTAATGAGTTAAGCTGGTCACATGGTTTCAAGTGGAAATCATCATCAATATTGTAAGTCATTCTGAAAATCAGCCTGAATCCAACAGGGGAAAACCAGGTACTCTGATTCACACATATGCACTAAGTCACTCTATGTGCCTTCCCTGAATTTCTGCTAATTAACTTTTAATTTAGAGATATCTCTACATGCTACAAGGGCAAGAAAGCCTACTTGGCATAAGGTAATACTTTAAAAAACTGAGAGCTTATTGACAAAGATTTTAATTTTTTTTACAATAAAAGGTTTCAAATCATAACCATGTCATTTGCCATTCTTTGATCCTATCTAAAATTCCCCTCATTTTTCACTTGAAAAGTGAACACAGAACATTTTCTGAGACCTGCCCAAGGTATTGATTTACACTTATTTAAAAACTGCAATTCATCAAATTGGGTAAATACAAGAGCATGAGAAATAATCCTTAAAAAAGTACACTCATGCTTTTTTTCTTTTTGCAGAAAAATTAAAATACTCAAAATATTCTTTTAAGCTTTGAATGCACTAGGCAATAAGATTGGAGAAATTTCTTATATGTTATCCTTCCAATTAATATAAATACCGAATTTGTAACCTATAAAAAAGCATGTATAATCTGTTTTCACACTATAACACCACTAACACTTTATAATTTTTTGAACAATTCTAAATAGTAAAAATTTTAATATTGATAGAATGTAGTTCAGACCATACTTGTAATGATGCCAGGGATTTGTGAGAAGGGACTTTATTATGAGTTTTGAACAAATGAGAAGGAGCCTGACAACTTACAGAGTGAGCTAGCTCAGGTTTGTAGGTTGCACAGCCTGCTTGCAGAGAAACTGAGCTAGCAAATGAACACACGGAGAACAAAGATGCATGTTGTGTATGCATGACTTTTCCCCCACAAGGTGGTGATTAAACTAAATAGAATTCTGCATAACAGGCACATAAAATATCAATAAATGCCAAGTATGACTAACACCTATTAAAAATAAGGCATGTGAGCATAGCTATGGATGAAATCTTAATTATTAAAAATCTTCAAAAGCATTCAAAGAAAGTTCTAGGAAGGGAGGAGGGTTAATGTTTAAGTTAAAAGACCAAGTGACACATGCCTGTCATTTTCATGGAAACAGAGATAACCTCCAAATAACAAAACTAACCAACAAAGACTGTTAGACATCTGACCTAGTCCCACACAACTCAACTTGAGGAAGTAAACTATTTAACAAACAGACTAGAGGTCAAATTTTAAGAACCCAGACACCGGGACACGACACTTACACAGAGTTCCTAACATCTTCCCTGGCACACAAGCAGGCTTTCTTCTTTCCCACTGCACACAGTCTGTTTCATTCTGGAAATACTCAGAAAGAAGTTCTTGCAGGAAACTCTTCACAGAACTGACTGCCTGGATCTTCCATCGTATCTTACATCGCCAGAGCCCAGTTCCTTCTCACAGATTCAGATGCTCCCTCTCATCAAAGTCCTTTCTAGGACACCTGACACATGTCTGACACAGTGACAGGCACAGTCGTTCAGTATCTGAGAGTATTTAACACAGGGCTTGAAAGAGTTTTGGTATATACTTATTCTTTCTGAGCAGGGAGAGAAAGCACACTACAAAGACAAGCTTTAACAACAAGCCACACTTGTAAACTGACTTTGGTATTTTGGGCAGTTACAAACTACCCATTGCTGTCCAACACACACACACACACACACACACACACACACACACACACACACACACACACACAAAGGATCTCCCCACCCTCTCTCTGCTAAGCACTGACCTGCCAGACAGGCATAAACTGGAGAGAAGCAAAGAGAAAGTCAACTCCTTCCACCTGCTACCCTGAAGTGGGGCGTGCTTTTGGCAGGCAGAAGCTTAAGATAGAGTCTCAGCAGTCACCTGCCAACATTCTTAAGACAAATAAACAAATAATACTACCCCCACATCCAAAAAAAAAATCATGGCAGGGGTTCAGAACACAACAGCCCGATTCCCATTAGCCTGGCAATCCCATTAACCAGAACCACCATAAATTCATGGACCTCTTCAGCCCTGAAGCCTTGTGGTCTGGGGACTGTACAGAAAAACAGACACAGACACCCAGGAAACTTGCACCTGCTTCTCTTGACACAACACACCTGTCCAGCCCTGCCCATGCGCATTCTGCTAACAGACTTTTGTCTGCTTGGTTTAGGAGAGGAAATGATTTTTTTTTTTTTAAACAGAGGGGTAGGGGGGGGTGGTAAAAGAAAGGAGGGACAGGGAGGAGAGAGAACAAGAACAAGACACCATGAGACTCTTCTAGCCATGACTTTGAGAGGAGGCCACCCTGGGCCTGCTCTATTTTCATAAGCTTAAGGAGACAACACAGATGTTCTCGGAAAAATAGAAGTAAGCAGGTGAGTTTCCAGCCTTCCCCGAGGCGAAGGGCTCTGGGTTGCCAAGAATAGCAGTTTTACACTCCAACCAGCCTCCTTGGGCTACTTAAGACTGTCCCCAGCCCCTCCTGCTTCGGTCCACGAGACTCAACTTCCCGAGAAGCTGGGCAGGGGTGGGGGAGTCTGAGTGTGGCTCGGTGCTCTCTCTGGACCCCAGTCGCTCTCAGCACAGACGCTCAGTTTTAGCAGGACTAACTGGCTGGCACTGTCGAGGCCACGACAACTTGCTCAGCTGGACTTTGGGTGATGTCTACCGCCCCCCTCCCCCCAGTCCCTTCTCCTTGTCTGTTCGGGCAAGATAGCAGCTCTCCCCCCCTTCCTCCCGCCCTCCACGCCGTTCTTCTCAGCAACAATCACTCTCACCTCTCCACTCCGCTGGGCTCTTCTCCTCCCTCCCCAATCCTAGGAGCCGGGGCAACACAGTAGCACCACCCAGCTGAGGCCGGAGCGCAGCTGCCCACTACCCGAGCGCGCCTGTAATGGCTGGGGGCTTCTTTTGGCTTATGGGTGGCACAAGAACACCTCGACCTGGGGACGGCCTTCGGCAGCTCGCCGTCCCGATGGCCCCACAGTCGACCCCTGAGGCTCCCGGGCCGACTCCCCCTACTCAGTGCTTCCCAGCGAGGCGCGCAGACAGAGTGGAGGGGCTCCGCGCTTGCTCCACGGGACCGTCCCTCCACTCGTCCCTCCTTGGCTGTAGAGCCGGGTGCAAGCTCCCAGCTCAGAAAGCGCAGCGAGAGGAAAGTCACCGGGCGCCCCCCCCCCAACCCCCGCCTTCCTCCCCACGGCCGGCCTCGGCCGGGGGTTAAAAAGGAGAAGTGAAAGGTATGCAAACACCAAGCAAATAGGAAAAGCCGGGAAGAAAGGCAGCTAGAATAAACAAGACAAAGGAAAGGGACAGGGACAGGCCCTTGAGTTTCAACCCCGGGAGAAGGGAAGGATGAGGCTGGGAAGGCAGCAAGAAACCTAGAAGAACAACAACAAAAAGGGACTCGGTCCCCTCGCGGCCCCCTCTCCTGAGAACAGTAAAATAATAAAATAAAATAAAATAAAATAAAAACCAGAGCCTCAGTGCACCCCAGGCACAGTACACAAAAGGTGACAAGATCAGAGACAAGTCCGGCAACGCCAGCCTCCCCCCATCGCCACTACCACCCCAGCCACCGGCAGGCACGAGAAAGAAATAAAAGCCAAGCGGATCACTTACTCTTCGTAACTGGGAGGAGCGGAGCGCGGAGTTCCACTGAGGCTCCTGCTTAGAAAACTGTTTTTAGAGGCTATTTGATTACGATTCATGTAAATAACACCATTTTCCCCCTGGAAAAAGAATGTTTACACGGGTGTGAGTAACGGGAGGCTCTTCTCTCTGCTTCCCATTGAAGAACAAGCCAGTGCGAGCGGTTCTGGAAAAGGGGAGGGGACAGCGACCGGGTGAAGATACTTACGCGGTGCGGGCAGCAGCGGGGCGCAGCCACTCTTCTCTCTCTGTCTCTCTCTCTCTCTCTCTCTCTCTCTCTCTCTCCCTCCCTCTCTCTTTCTCTCTCTTGCGGGCAGAGAGAAGAAACCCACGCGCGCACGCGGTGATGTCTTACTGGTGATAATTGGCCCGGGGGTCGGTGAGTCTGTGCGAGAGCGAGTGAGCCTGGCGAGTGCTGGGAGGAGAGGGGAGAAAGGAGGGAGGGGAGGGGAGAGGCGCGCAGGGCAGAGCCCAGAGCCGGGGGAAAAAAGAGAGAAAGCCGAGGAGCGGAGGAGGAGGCGAGGGCTGGAGCGCGGCGTGCGGCGCGGTGGCTCGAGGCGCAGCGGGCGCGGTGGTGAAGCTCGTGTGCGCCGCGCGGCTTCCCCAGCTGCAGTGGCGGACTCTTTCCCAGCGCTCTCTGAGCTGAGGGCTCAGCTCCACAACAAGATTTACTTTAAGACACAGCTGAAGGAAACAGGAAGACTGCACGTCACAGTCCCACTGACGTACCCGGCCCCAGCACCCAATCGCGAGGCGCCTTCGGATTCAAGGGGGGATAGAGAGGCAAGAGAACTTGGGAGCAAAAAAAAAAAAAAAAAAAAAAAAATATATATAAAAGGGGTGGGGGTGAGGGGCTGGGGAGAGAGAAGGGGAGAGGGCCCCGCGCTCCCCCGCCCCGGCCTCCAGCCCCGGCCCCCACCCCTCCCTGCCACTGCTTGGGGCGCCTGGATCGCCGCGCCCCGGCCACCGCGAGCCATCTGCGGGCGTTGTGCACCGGGGCGCCGGGCTTACACTTGCTCTTCCAGAACGCAGGTCTTTTTTTTTTTTTTCATTTCACTGATACAGATGATACAGCGGCAGAGCTAAGGAAACGCTCCCCAGACTGGGAAGGAAGGCACGGAAAATTATACGGGACGAAAAGTGGAGGTTTTAAGTGTGCAGTGTGTGTGGGGGGGGGTGGCATAGACATAAAGGAGGACGTGTGTGTATGTGGGGGGGGGTTGCAAATCTTTCCGCTTTGGAAATAGTATAGATAATATCAGTATCTGGCTTCCTTTTAATGAGGATGGGCAAACACAGGTAGGTTCAGTATTTTAAAAATAAGTGTCAGGGATTTCACACTGGGGCCGCTAAATCTGGTGTTAAAAGCTCTACCTACCATTAACTGCATCCCAGTCAATCAGACCCCAAAAATTATAGGAACCACTCTCGGTTATCTTTTAAAATGTTATTTAAATTGTAGGAAAAGTTGCCACATATGCTACAAGCACAATTTCCACTCACCCTTCCCCAGTTCACGCATCCCAGGGTGGCCAAAAAAAAAAAAAAAAAAAAAAAAAAAAAAAAAAAAAGAAAAGAAAGAAAAGAAATTAGTACAATATAGAACTTACACAATTTCGAAGTCTTAGTGACAAGCTTAAAAGTTCATTAGACAAGACATTTCAAATGCCAACACCTCGGACTCTAATGCTTAAAGGCACATTGGTTTTACATCTTAGGTGAAAAATAGTAATGAGATTTCTTCAGATAACAGGGCTCGAAGAAGGGGGCCTTGGCTTCCAGGGACATGCTGAAGAAAACCTCCCTCTGCAACTTGAATGTCCCCTTCCCTGGACACAGTTAACAGCAGTGCTTACCAAAGGGTCGTCGTGGATGGAACACCATAGAAAACCCAGACTTTGCAGAGCTGTAAAGCACTTTAAATGTTCATATCTAGCAGATCAGACACTTTTTAGAAAAGGTGGTGTGGGGACAAGGATTTTTTCGAGTCCCTCCAATTCAATCAGATCAAAGGTTGAAACGTGTAGTGACAGAGTATTTATGAGATGCGAGTACACTGGCAGACCTGCCACCCTCGTCTGCCACACATACACTCGTTTCTAGGATGGTCACAATTTCAGCTTCCTCGTTTCTAGGATGGTCACAATTTCAGCTTCCGATTCATCAGAATGGAAGGGTGTATTAATCCCCTGTGAGTCGAACGGCAGTGTCTCTCTGTGTGTGTCTGAAGTCTGTGTCCTGTGGGAAACTTTTGACCGGCACGGAATTCAAACATTAAAAAGAAGAAGGAGAAAGGGGAAAAAATCAGGTCAGCCAGGTTGGTGTTCGGAAAGAAGAGACTCACCTGAGCGTCCCCAAGCCTCTTGCCCCCTCTCAAACTGCCCCCAGACCTCTTCCATCTCAGATTGGGGAAACAGCATTGCCCAGAGCTCAGTGCACCATTTACACCCCAATGATGGGCTCTTGTAGCAAGAGTTCTAATCGGGGTTGAGGACTGACATGATTTACTCACGTGCCCGTTAGGCGGGATGCAATGTTGGTTGGGAATCTTTGAGGTAAACGGATGTACTGAGTAGGGTACAATTTGGGGTTCTGAGATTGGTCCAAAGCCGCTTTCTCATTTTTCCTCCCTTTATTTTCTCTTGAAGAATCTGTTTGCACTTGTTAGCATCAGCTTGACGTTTAAAAGGGGGGGGGGTGTTGGGAAGGAAAGAGATTGAGGGGGAGAGGCAAAGTAGAAGGAGAGAGGCCATTCTGGAGTAGTTTGTGCCAGGTGCACCTGGCGTTCGGATGCTTGTTTTGCACACGCAGCGCCTGGATTCTGGCGGCGGGAAAAGTTTCCTGAGCACCCTCAAATCTAAGTCCTCTATCTATCTCGCAGAGAAACAAAGTAGGCCCGAGTCAAAGCTGGGGTAACCTCCGAACAGACAAGCAGACTCCACACTGGCAGCCCGCGCTGCTAAGGCTTGCAATTTGCCAAGCTCAGCCGCAGTTCGTAGCCCGCGCTAGGGTACAGGAGCTGAGCGTGGAAAGCGGATCGCTGGCCTCTCTGGGCGTGTGAAATGGGGTGGTGACCCTGAGCTCTGAAAGCTGCGGATAAGCCCTGTCTTGTCTCTAACTGTCCCGGCCACGCATGAGCCAGGCTCCCGGCGGCGTACTGTCTGACCTGAGCGGTGGCTCTCCCTCGGGTTTCCAGCGGCGTTGGAGCAAGGCTTGAGGCCCAACGCCCCAATCTCTGGCAACTCCCGGGTTGTTTTCTTGATAACTAAGAAGCGGTCAGTCAGCCAGGAGACCACAAGTCTTCTAGACTCCCGCCTCATCTGCGAAGCCAGGGGCCAAGCCTAGATTACTTACTACCCTTTCTTTTGGCCACCCGGGCCAGCCTCCGTACTAGTGATTTAAAGTGAGCACAAGTTCTGGACCATGCTGGGACAAACCGTCCCCGTACAGGTTGCATTAGCTGGTTTATCTGGAGAGTGATTTGTGTGTTATTAGAGAAAAGCGGTCATACATCCGGCTCTAGGCTAAACACACTTCTTGACCTTCCCTCTGGGCATTTCTAATCCCCCCCCCCACTCACGTTCTTTCTTAAAACCCTTAGGTGGGGGCTAAGAAGGGAGGGCAGTGCTTGTAGGTCATTTGAAACCACACGAACAGCAGGCATCAACACGTAGGAGCTGTTTGGAGGTTTTCAACAGATCCAGTGACGAGGCAAACGTGGGAGTGGATTTTGTGAAAGGATGTTGGAGGACCTCGGTGGCCTCCTACCAGCCCACCCACTTGCCACCACCATTACCACCACCCACCTGCGGAGGGGAAGAGGCAGCCGCGGCTGGAGCAGACCTGCCAACTGCAGGTTGCCTAGAGGCGTGTTTGACGGCGGTTCTCTCACGCTCTTGTCCCCTGTGCCCAGCGTGACGCCGAACCCAACCTGGATTTGTTCTGAATGGTGGTGGGGGGGGGAGTGAAATGCCACCAGATCAGTAGCAGTAGCAGCTGCAGCGTTTCTCTCTGGGGAACCCCACCGCTCAGAAACCTCCGAGTGATGTTTGTTTAACCAACAGTTTTCAAAGTAAACATCAGCGAGTCACTCCAAAGAAGCTGGGAGCTGGGAGGACTGGCAGAAAAAGTAATAATAATAATAATAATAATAATAATAATAATAATAATAATAATGTCTTCTCCCCAGCAGAGTAAAAAGAGCCCCCCACTTTACCATTAAAGGATACAGGATCGACACAAACATAAACATACATAGTAAGGACTTATTAGTAACAAGGTGATCTCAAAGAAAAACATAACCCAACAGGGATGAGGGGCTGCTGGTGATGGGCGGGCAGGGGGGGGGGAGGTTGTCACACCACAGCTTGATGTGGGAAAGTGGACAGAAACGAACAAAGGGCGATGGGAGGGCATTCTCTGCCCTAGAGGAATAAGGGGTGGGCTGGGAGCTATTCGCCGCCAGCCCTGGCTTTGCCTCAGGCACCGAACTTTCCAATATCAAGATATTAACAGATGGTGTGGAGCGCAGGAGGGATCTTACTTACATAACCCAGCCACTGCGCCCGGCCGCGCCGCGACGCGAGAGGCGTCCGCCAGGCCTCGCGCTCTTCCGTGGGGCTGCTCTTGCTCCCCGAGATGGCTTACTCATTCGCAACCCCACCCACCCAGGGTTTGAGGGGTGAGGGTTCTGAGAGGCTATGATTTCGGCTCTCTCTCTCTCTCTCTCTCTCTCTCTCTCTCTCTCTCTCTCTCTCTCTCTCTCTCTCTCTCTCTCTCTCTCTCTCTCTCTCTCCACACGGTTGTCTTATCTTCTTCAGTCCACCAAGGGGAAGCTGGAAGGAGCCTGGATCAGATATAAGCTGAGGAACGCCTGTGGGGACAAACGGAGTGCTCTCCCTCGTACTTGGGGGTGTCACAAAGTGGAATGTACACACACATACGGACACACCAACACACGCGCCACTGCAACCACTGGGTGTGATCAGCCAGTCTTGCTGTCAGTGAAGTACAAAGGCAGGCTCTGGCCGCAGTGTCGCGGGAATGGGGTGCGGAAAGGGTGCGATTGTGAGCGGACGCCTTGCACGAGGGGCGCCGAGTGGCAAAACCACGCCAAACCTCTGAGCATCCCACTCTTTCGAGCCCGGCCAAGGCAGTAAGCACTCTGAGAAGGGCCGTGTGGCCTCCCGTTGTCTTCACTCCAAGGCCACCTCCCTAGAGAGGCCCGGTTCCTCCTCTCAGTGACCCAGTCGTGCGTGTGTTTGCGGAACCCTCTCGGAGCTGGCTTTCCAAGACCTGCGAGGGACACTTCCGCGAGTGCTGGAAAACCTGCGGGAAGGACTGGAAGGCTGGGAGTGCGCCCAGCAGCGTTGGGCGCAA